ATTCATAAATTTCCATTTTTAAAAATTTGGAATTTCTTTTCTCCTCAAAATTCCAGCGAGTGTTTCCTCCTAACCCATTTATACTAAAATGTGCATAAATCTTTCTATATGTATCCACAATTTATGAACTTTTTTGGAGAGCTAGTACACACATAGAAAAACAACTTTTATTCTTTACGTTTTTCTCAAAAATCAATCTAACAGCATCAAATAAATCTCACAAGATTCAGGCAGATTCTTCTCCCAAAATTCCAGCAGAATGCATTTCGAAACAACCCTCACTATAATTGGTATAACTCTTAATTTATAAATCCAAATATTATAAAATTTTATACAGGCCTATTAAACACATAGATGAACAACTTTCATTCTTTAAGGTTGACCCAAAAATTACTCTAAAGGCCTCAAATAATTCACACAATACTCGGGCAGAATATAGTCCTTAAAACACTGATTTTGCATATTTAATTTCTTTAATAATTAAACCATTAATCTTAAGCACAATAACTTTAATTTAACATAAATCACATATTTCAAGCATTAATTTCTCATGATGAAATGATAATTACACTTACTCTTAATATACATATATATAGAATTATTCTAATACACGTCGTGTTACGGATAAGGGTTTTTTACGGGGGTTACATTTTATGATATGCATATGTTTCGAAAAAATAAACATTGCATTTTGAGATGAATCATCCTTAGTTTATTTTCCTCCCTTGGTATGTTATATAATGTTTATTCACTGAGTTGTTGATTGCACATCCCTCATTATTTTAGTCTTGCAAGGTATTGAGGGATTGCTCATTGCTTCCTTTTAGTTGCTTGATTTAAAGTCGACACTTTGATCGTGCAACTTACTTTAATTGTAATTTTCTATATCTTATGCTTGTTTTAAATTATAATCTTAAAAGCTTTATAGTTATAGCTGTGAGTATCATGTTAAGAATTGATTATAAATATTTTAATTATTCATTATATTGAGGTTTTAAGAAACGTGTATTAAATTAGGCTAACGTTAATGAGAATGATATTTTAAGTGATTTTTATTTGAGGATTATAGCATAAGTTTGATAATGATTTAGGGTTTTAATTTAGTATCCAAGGCTTACTTTAGTCGAGGTGGGCCTCACGGTCCCTTCGACTCTTACACCGGTCATATCCCACTCCCGGGTCGTGACAACCATAAACCCATAGCCCCAAAACACCATACCTCCAGAAAACCTCCTAAGTGTCATCGATCTCCATCATTACTCACCTAAAAAGCTCACCTCACCACCGTCCCGAAACCTTTACCCATCAAAACCATATTCTACCTAAAAAGCCACGACCTCTACAACTACAAAATGCGACTACACCATATAGACTTTTTGAATTAGGTTAACAATAATTAGGGGTGAGGTTGTTATGATCTTTTCATTTAAAAAAAAATTATTGTATTATTTTATTATTTATATTAGTTTTAAGTGTTTTTTTAATTTTTTTGGAGACATTGTTATTTGAGGTCTATTATGCCACGTGTTCATCTATGATTGATTTTTATTAATTTTAACATACCACATAGGATGAACAATTGATAAAGTTACAATAGAGAGTTTGAATTCATAAATTTTTAAGAGTAGAGTGTTTCAATTAAAAAAAAAAAAAGAGGAACTTGATCAAAAAAATTCAAATATGGGGTAAATTTGTTTATATCTATAAAAGCCCTACATCAATCAATAACAAGTTCTTTAACAAAAAAAAATCATAAGAAGTACTATGTTTAATGTTAAATAGAAAACCAATACTTATTTCGAGATCAAATTTTTGGACATAAATATTAAAGGTCGATACCTACTTGGTTTAAGTCTAACACTCTTTTTCAAATCCAACTCTTCAATTTTCTTCATTCTATTATCTTTTTAAATTTCAAGAACAAATCAGCATCACGTGGTTTTGTAAAGATATCAACAACTTGATCTTTGGATGAATAAAATTCAACCATAATTTCTTAATCTTTCACCAAGTTACAAATATAATGGTAATTGATGCCAATGTGTTTACTTGCATCATGAAAAACTAGATTATTTGTTAATGCAATACCATATTTGTTGTCATAAAAGATTCTTATTAATTTGTTTTGACAACGTTGTAACTCACTAAACATTTTTCTCGACCACATAGCTTGAGTAGGAAAATTTTTAACTATAATATATTATCCCTCGATAATAGAAAGAATAACTATTTATTGTTTCTTTGGTAACCAAAAAAAAATTATAACCGACTCCATCAATCACAAGTGTCTTCAATGTTATAGTTGTTACGAGTGGGTGACTCGAACATAAATTCAAAAGGCATCGTTTTTCTATAATCAAACCAATTCCTCATCTTCACTTATTTTGATGGTGGAATATTGTATTTGGAATAAACCACAATCGTTTGTTCATGATGATAAAATAAACACTCAATTTTTTTCTAATTACTTGACTTATTACCACCTATACCACTAACATTTTTAAATTTTAAGAATTTATTGCTATCCAAAAAGTCAATTTTCTCTTCCACCTCTTCAAAAATAAAATTTGGCCTTTCAATTTTGTGTTTTAATCTAAAATTCCCCAAATCAATTTCCTTTTCACATTTCTCTCTCCTAAGGAAATAACATGTATTCTCTACCTTTTCAAATTCCTTCACTAATTTATTATTTCTTATTTCTTCTCCATCCATAAATTTTCTCCATCGTCATCTTTGTACTTTATTGTCTCACAAAATAATTTATTCACGTCAAGTTTTGATAATCTTAAACATTCATCATTAAATTTAGGCTTTAAGCTATAATTTTTCAATGATAGATTCTCATATCAATTTTTGATAACCTTTTAACTTCACCCATAAATCTGTCATCCACACTACAATTTGACAAGTATAATTCTTTAACTCTGAATTCTTAAAAGATGATGAAATTCACTAGTAAATTTTAAATTTTAAATTTAAACTATTTTCTCACAAATCAAGTTCTTTAATTTCATTTTTTACCAATCTCATGGTTTCTTTTGGAACAAAAAACTTCATCTTAATTATATTTATGAAAGTCCAAATTATATGGCTAATATCCCATTGACAAATTTTGTGGTAACTCTATTTCTTTTTAAACTTTTCCTTAGTTAAAACTTATTTAAGTTTTAACCAACCACTATGTAGAGTTAAATATTTTTCCATAAAAAATATACCAACTCCAAATATGAGTACCATATATACAATATCAATAATATTTTTTCTTCCTTTTTGCTTCAAATATCTAATGCCAAAGACAACATTAAATTTTCTCCGTACCAATCATATCCCAACACATTACATTCCTCGTATATTTTTGCACTTACAAACTCCAATTTCTATAACCACCAAATTTTAACTTTGTAAATTTCTTTTCCATCCTTAATACTTAAAAATCATCAAAGAAAATATTCTTTGCTTACCTTCGTAAAACTTCACCGATCTTTTTCCTCCAACTACTTTTGAGGTCCTTGTTGTTGGGATACGAGCTTGTAACTCCTTGTTGGGATACGAGCTTGTAACTTGCTAACGCAGTATATTTTTTTAAAAAAAAACACTTTGCACTCGATATTGATTTTACCGAGCTGCACCACACCTAATTTTTAGGGTTTTTTTTCCCACCAAAAGACTACATGACCAATTTTACAACTCTCAATCCAAATACCAACTCCAAAACTCCTAGATGTAGAAGAATTATAAAATATCCAAATACGATATTTTATTTTATTATTCTGTAAACCTATTGACTGCGACTTAGCCTCATACATGGTTTTTTTTTGTTTTTTAAAACCACTAGACACACATAAGAAAAAACCAAACTCTTATAGATAATCAATAACAAATCTTACATTAACTACGGAAGCAATTAGGGTAAGAATTCGTAACAAATCTTATATAAAGCAGTAAACTAACATATATTAGAGATCAAATCAATAGAAGATAAGGATTGAATATTAATATACACTTGGTTTTATTCCATAAACTTGTATGCTAATTAACATTCAATGTTGATGCCGACAGCACTTCTTTCTTTTTATTCAGTCGTTTCAAAGGACCCCATCTTGGCCACTGACTGTGGTACATATGGACATTCCCGTTAATTAAACATGTGCATGTACGTTGCTTTAAAGAACAACTTGAGTCTTGTAAAAGAAAGTTAGGTAGATCAGAATTCAATGCGATGATTTCCCAACAGTGAGTATGTAATTTTAACTGGTACGATAGGCCATATTTTTCACATCTCCATGACTTGAAAAGCAGACAACAAGAACGATACCTAGGATTTAATTGCTTGGCTAGAATACACGCATACACGAGCCAATTTTTCTATGTTGTCTGAAATACCTGTACCGAATAAGACTACATATGGTCTGACTCAAAGAAGAAGAGTAGATTGAGAGCCAAAGGAAGAGTCACCCCACAAGCAAAAGCAAAATTTCCATGGCGAAATGAATTGAGGAAAGATGAGCTGCACCTCAATAATTTGTGAGAGTTAGGGATGGGGGGGTTTGGCAAAGCATAAAGAAGTGATGTTGATGCCCTATGTAATGATCAGAGAGGCACATGCCGGAGCCAACATTAGCAGAGTCCCTTTTATCATCTTTTGAGTTTTTTTTCTTCCCTCCCTTTCCCCACATCATGTGGTCGACTTCTCTTATCTTATCGCATTAAATCCCCTTCTTTTTTTGCATCACTAAACTTGGTCACATCAAAGCATTAGTACTGATTTTTCCTTTTCTCACAACCAACTTGGGGGTCTCTCTATTCCTTTTCCCACTTCAAAGAGATTCCAATTAAGGACAACCCAACCAAAGTGACCAACCACCTTCCTATCTCTTCTTTTTAATTCCTGCACCTCCTTCTATATGTATCTCATAATTTGTCAATAGCTCAAAGCCTCAAAAACACCATCGCCTCTACTTTTCCTCAATTTTACAGCATATACAGTAGCCAGTCCAACTATGCCACCAGTACATTCTAGCCCTTACTTCCAAATGGACAATCAGGCCATACTGTCTTTGCTCCGGCATACTGCAGGCGAGAAACGATCAAAATCTGGTAGCGGTGGGCTTCTTAAAATGTTCAAGCTCTTCCCCATGTTGACTTCAGGTTGCAAGATGGTTGCACTATTAGGCAGACCTCGAAAACCTTTACTCAAAGACAGTGCTACAACAGGTACCATTTTTGGTTATCGTAAAGGCAGACTTAGTCTAGCCATACAAGAAGATCCTCATTGTGTGCCGATGTTTGTTATAGAGCTACCGATGCACTCAAGTCTATTTCACAAAGAAATGGCATCGGATATAGTAAGGATCGCACTAGAGAGCGAGACCAAGACTCATAAAAAGAAAGTATTGGAGGAGTTTGTTTGGGCTGTGTATTGTAATGGAAGAAAGGTTGGGTACTCTATTAGGAGGAAGCAAATGTCTGATGATGAGCTTCATGTTATGCAACTTCTGAGAGGTGTTTCCATGGGTGCAGGTGTGCTTCCCTGCCCAAATAATGAGAAGGAATCAGCAGATGGGGAATTGACTTACATTAGAGCCAGATTTGAGAGAGTGGTTGGATCGAAAGATTCTGAAGCTCTGTACATGATTAATCCAGATGGTGCAGCAGGGCCAGAATTGAGTATTTTCTTTGTAAGGGCTCGCTAGAATTTGTTTGTGTGACATAATTCTAGGTTATGTTTGTAAACTTAATCTTTCTAATCTTAAGCACCGCAAAAGTATTCTATTGATCTCTTTGCTTGTTACATGCCAAGAGTACACAAGTTGTGGTTTTGAGGTTTGTAGTCCCGTGTAAATTCTTTAGTAGTTGCATGGCACTTTGATGGAATTGAAATCTAAAAGACATTTATCGTTCTACCTTGAAAATTTTATATTTTGTTGGCATGCCTGCAGATCCAACCAATTTCACAGGCTCTCTGTTAATTACTAGTGAATGTACAGTTACTACATGCCATGATTAATTTCTTCCTCGTAAAGTTTTAGATTTTTCCAGAACGTAAGCCTTGTAGTTGCAGCTCATTAATTTCAATAGGGAGATATAATTATCAGAAACATTTCAAAGCTATTCAGTTAGCTAGGTAGCCTGAAAAAAAAAGAGTGCGCGCCTTTTCAGTTTCTTCCGTGGGATTTTTTAACAGAAGCTTTTCAATTACTTCTGCACAAGACTTTATATGGAAACATGAATCTTCATATTATTAAGTATAACTTTGAGATAAGGTTATCTTTTTCAGACTCATCGGCTTTCTTCTTTTTTCCTTTTTCTTTTTTTTGCTGAAATAATCTTCAATCTAATATACAGAACAGTTAGGGGCAAAACACAACATGTGAGAGAGAGCATTGATGATGATGTTTTCTTTTTTCCTTGCATAGACACATTAGGCGTTGGAACTAGTTAGTCAAACATCAGACGTATGGTGGGGGACTGGATGTGGACTCCAATATTTGGAATTTTTGCACGCATACAAATTTTGAGGATTCAAGACTCAAAGAGTGTCGATTGGGGTTTCGGTCCGTGTCAAATGATGTTCCCATCTTTTTTCTCCACTCAATCCAAATGAACGGAACTTGCAATTTTGGAGAAGAAAAAGAGCTCTTTATGTTACAACGATAGAATTTTTATCGTTAGTCATTGTCCTTTTTTAATTAAATTAAATGAGTGTAAATATAAGTTCAAAAGGATTATATTCCCATTATCCATCAACCTTTCTAAAAGGTTTCCACTAAATAAAGGGTGTATTAAAGAGCTTCGTCCAAGGTCATTGAGAAAAAAATATACCGTATCAGTAGAATTTTAAAACGTCTCTTTCTTTTTGAGCTACAAAGTACGGTTCTCCCCCATCTAGTTAAATCGTATAGGAGATCTTTATGGCATAGAGTTGTGTTGAGGTTAAGTATTTGGAATCGAACAATATCACACAGTACTATGATACTGCTAATTCTTTGAATAAATATTCACTTCTATGAAAAGTCGAGTTCAACTACAAATGTATTTAGGATTAATGGTACCAAAGTAGCTCCGTTCTTGATATTTTCTGAATATAGCTCATCTATTTTCATTTTTTTTTATCGGATCCCTTTATTTTATTTTTTTAATATGGTTCTTCCGTTGATTTTTCTCTTAATTTTCTGAACAAATGCAAAAAAAAATGACATGTATAATGTCATATTAGATTAAATTGTTATGTGGCAAAAATAATTTACTGAAAAGAAAATGTAAAGAAAAAAAATCTAATAGTTTCTTGTTCTTGCTCTTGATCGTCGAGAAAATCAGAGCAAAATCTACGAGTTACCAGCTGAGATTATAACTAATTATGTTAGGTCAAGGTTATGCATCCTTACATTTTTTGTTTAAAAAAGGACCAAGATTAGTATTTGTTAATAAAAACATGCCAGCTTTGCTCAACAAGAACTGCACAATCTGCAAGTTTCTCCTCGTTCGAAAGCTTTTACGCCTGCAATTTTACAGCAGCCTGGTATTTGGGGCTTTTGGGACCGAAAATTGCCGACTATCGAACTGTCTCTCAAAATATCATCTGACATTAGGAGCTGGTTATCCATTTCTTTGCTGTTCATGCTAACCGACTTTGTGGAGGCATCTTTTTAATTGTCCACTGGAGAAGCTCTAACAGACATCACTCTTTCCGATTCTCCCCTTTAAAAACTAACAGATCTTTCACCTACCATCTTCCCAGAACCTAAAGATTTCGATATAGTAGACTCAAAATCTTGATCACCAGAACTAATCGATCGTGCAGGAGTTTTGGCTTCATCATGATCTCCAAAGCTAATAGATTTTACAATAACAATTCTAAGCCAGTCTCCAAATCACTGTACTTATAAAATGGGCAGGAAAAGGATATTTCCATTCAAGAATATAGGGTTTCCAGAAATCTATGTATCTTGATTCATGTTCTAACGAAACCAATACAAAGAAGTTAAAGCTACAATGTTTTTCAATGATGTAACATAAGCTGTCAATATTTCCGAAATCTGACAAAATGGATTTCCACGTTCTTGTAACCAAATGCAGAAATCTCAGAACACTCATGCTCTCTTCTTAGCATTTTCTAATAAGGTAAATGATGGAAATACCAATACCTTATCACAAGAAGAACAAGCTAAAAGCTATAAATTATAGAAACAGGACAACATTTAACTATGAAGATGAATTTAATGTAGCACAAAAAACTATGGTTCTGCAAAAAACCCATTGACCAAAAAACATTTTGCAAACCAAATATAAATTCTAGAATCAAACCCAAAATTCCAAACAAACACACAGCCACTTCCTTCTATTTAACCAACTAGAACCTAATGAAGAAAACCCAGAACAAGAGTTAGAAAATTCATTATTTGACATCGAGAAACACGAATGTGCCATTTCTCGATGGTCTGGAGCAAGAGCAAGAAACTCTTAGATTTTCTTCTCATTTTCTTTTCAGATAATTTTTTCCATTTTTTAATTTTTTGTCACCCGACAATTTAATCTGCACTATACGTGTCAATTTTATTTTTTTACCACGTGTTAGTTTGCTTGGAAAATTGGTCTGAAAACCATCAAAAGAGTTACATTAAAAAAACTTAGAAAAACAAGAGGGTTGTGATAAAAAAAAAAAATTAAGAACAAAAAGACTATTAAAAATATATATATATAAAAAGAACGTTTCATGCAATTAATCTAATGTATTTACGTGCAGAATTCTGCAACATGTGTGTGTGAGCCAACAAATAATTAGCTGAATATTTTCTTTTTTAAAGAAAATAAAATTCAAAGGAACAGAAGCTTAAAAATTTTGAGCGCCTCTCCTCTTACATAGATTCAGCTCGGCTAGCCGAGCAAAAAGAGAATCAAATGAAGAGGTTGCAGCTGATTCATTCTCACTTCCAGTATTGCTAAATCTCATTCTCAAAACATGCAGCTTCTATCTTTCGGAACAACAAAAACCTGATAGACATTAGATTATACTTGCTTGTTTTTTCCCGCGCAATCAGCCCAAACTAGGTTTTAGTACGTTTTTCTGCATTGCCCGTAACTTGTAACTCTTCCCCAATTTAAGGATCGTTTAATTACTAAGAATGAAAAATTTGAAATGAAAATTAAAAAATCGAAATAAAATTTATATTATTATATTGTATTTGGAATATTAACGAGGAATCAAAATGTGATTTAAATTTTTTAATATCTGATTTTTTATATAAATAAAAATAAGGGATAATTATCGAGAAAAAACCTTATAAAAAATTCTTCTATCTAAAAAACCCACAAATTTATTTTTAAGTCTCATCAAACCCAAAATAATATTTTTCTTATTGAAACACTCAATAATTAACACTAGTGTTAACTATTGGTAGTTTCGGTAAAAAAATATTGTTTTAGATTTGTGACATTTAAAAATATTATTTTGTGTTTGAAAAATTTAAAAATAAAATAATGAATTTTTTAGATAGAAGATTTTTTAGAAGATATTTTAGTAATTATCCTTAGTTTAAATGAAACTATTGTCTTTCAAAATATGTATTTCTATTATGGATGATCATGTTTAATTTAATTAATGCATTAAAATATGTTATACATTCATCTTGTAATTTAATTTAATTGATTGATAAAAAATATTGAGTTATTATTAATTAAAAACTAGTATTACGGATAATACTTTTTTTCTATCAATATATTAGGATTTAAAAAATCACTAATGGTCACAATCACACATATCTTAAGTATGATAACCCTTTGATTAAATTACAAGAGAATAACTATAGTCTCATTTCATCAATATTAATTAGTTAAATTACATCAATTGCTATAGTTACTAGCTAGTAAAATTAATCTTGTAATTAATGAAATAAATATTAGATAGAAAAAAAAACTCGATATAAGGAATTTTTTAGTATAATAAAAAAAATAGTAGTCAAATGTTAGTGTTTAAAAGTCAAAGAACCTAAAAAAAAAAATTTCTTTTCGAATGCAATAAAAAAGAACTTGACTTCATCATGAAAAAAATAATAATAAATATCAAAGTCATTAAAAACTATGAAATGAGTTTATTATAAGATAAAAACTATATAAAAAAAAAACTCCAAAAAATTTTCTATCCAAAAAATCCATCAATTTATTTTTTAAATCTCTCAAATCTAAAAATAAAAAAATTATCTTACCAAAAGACCCAGTAGTTAACTAGTGTTAAGTTGGAAGTTAACTATTGAGTGTTTTGGTAAGAAAAATATTATTTTGTGTTTAAGAAATTTAAAAATAAATTGATGGGTTACTTAGATATAAGATTTTTTTTAGAGGATTTTTTTGGTAATTATCCCTAAAAATAATAATTAAAAAAATAATTTTATCAAACTATAATGGTTATAAAAATAATACGGATGGTGACGAGTCTTGTTGATTGTTGTTGTAATGGTAGAAGTGGTTAATAAATAATAAATACATAAAATATATTATTATTTTTTAAAAAATTCATTTCTATTTTTTATTTTTATTCCCACATTTTAAATGAGAATGAAGTTATGTGTAATTTTTATTTTTATTCTCACTTTATTCTTTTCAACCAAACAATTATAATGTTATAATAAAATTTTTATTTTCATTTTCACCACTCCATCTATTACTGATTACCAAAATAGCAGAAAAAAGAGAATCT